CACTTTTCTGAAGAAGGGTCTCGGCCCGAAACATCAGCCTTCCTGCTCCTCCGATGCTGCTTGGCCTGCTGTGTTCATCCAGCTCTACACCTTGTTATCTCAGATTCTCCAGCATCTGCAGTTCCTACTATCTCTACAATGGTGATGTGTATGTGTGTGCCCCCTGTATTATGTTTCTATTAGTGGCTGAATCATAGCCTTTGAAGAGTTACTGAAGAATTATGATGTAAAGTTTTACGACATTTGTTAAACAAACCATTTTGAAGCAAGTTATGTTATAAAACTTAGTTAATGGGCAGTGCAAACTTAAAAGTATAGCTATGCTTTTACTCTATGTGGGCCTCTTTATTAATCAGAATATTTGATCAACTGGCACAATCCTGGTCCGACAGGTGCCAGATAATAAAAGGTTTTCTGTATAATGTTAAAAAAGGGAAAGCAATGAACACTTTTTGTGAATGCATGCATCATTAAAACCAAGTAGTTGATTTAAAGGTATAAATTACAGGCAAGTGGACAGAATTTAATTATCATTTATAGAGATGTGATTACAGGGTGACCAGGTCTCAATTGAATATTCAGCGAATCCATCAGATAGGAAGGATAGGTGGAGGGAAAAGAGAAGTGGCGTAGCGTCTTCAATGGAGGATGAGATCAGTAAATTAGTGATAGAGAACCTTAGATTTAAGGATGTAGGATCAGTCTGGGTGGAGTAAAGAAATAGCAAGGGACAGAAAATGCCGGTGGGAAATGATTGTAGGCCACCAAACTGTCGTGGTCATGCTGGACATAGTATAAATCAGGATATTATTATGTAGTATGTGTAATACAGTAATAATGGAGACTTCAATTTCAATAATGATAAACCTAATTAGCCCTAACACTGTGAAGAACGTGTTTCTGGATTGCGTACAAGATGGGTTTCTGGACGAGCATATTGAGGAAACAAATAAAAAAAGGGCTATTTTAGATTTTGCATTCTGTAATGAGATTGGGCTAATTTATCATTTTGCTGTGAAGGAGCGATCCAGAAGTAGTGACCATAACATGATAGAGTTTTACATTAGTTTGAAAACGATACACAGTTCATTCTGAAACTCGGGGCCAAAATCTGAACAAAGGAAACTATGAAAGTATAGAGTTGGCTATTGAAGGTTAGGAAAATATATGAAAACATTTGATGTTAGACAGGCAATGGCTAGTATTTAAAGTCATTACATGGTCTGCAACAAATATACATTCCTCTCAAACAAAATCAAAACAGAAAAGGTGAATCAACAGAGGATAAGAATAGTTAAATATTGCATTAGGTCAAGGAAGTGCCTTATAAGGTTGCAAGAGAAGTTGTAAGCCTGAGGATATTCAGCAATTTAGAATAGTCAAGAGACTGATAAAAGGAAGAGAGAATATGAATTCAAGCTAATGACTGACATAAAAGGAAAAAGTAAAAGTTTATATTGATATGCGAAAAGGAAAAGATTAGCAAGGACAAATATGGCTCCATTATAGCAGATACTGAAGAATAAATGGAGAAAAAGGAAAGGGTGGAGAAGCTCCCATACAGGTCACAAAGCAAAATTGGAATAAATGGGATGGCGGGAGGGTGGGGTGTTGGTAAAATACTGGTGTGGATTGAGAATTGGATAAAACAGAATACAGAGTTGGAATAACCAGTTCATTCTCAGGATGGCAGGCAGCCAACAATGGAGTACCCATGTGTGTGTGCTTGGACCACAGTTGTTCATAATCTATACAAATGATCTGGATGTAGGGACCAAACATTACCTCAAAATTTAAAACTAGGTGGGAATTGGAGCTATTAAGAGGATTTAAAAAAAGGCTTGAGTGTATTTAGACATCCAAACGAATTGACAAGAACATGGCAGGTGGAATATAATATGAATAAGTGAGAGGTAACCCACTTTGGTTAAAAACAGGAAGGCAGAGTATTTCTTAAAACAAGGGGGCTGGGAACTGTTGATGTCCAAAATGGCCATGGGTCCTAGCTCATAAGTCAGAAGAAACTAACATGCAGATGCAGCCAGCATTACGGAAGGCAAATGGTATATTGATCTTCAATGCAAGGGAATTTGAGAACAATAAAGATGTCCTGCTACATTTGGACAGAGATTTGATGAGACCACACCTGGAGTATTGTGTATAATTTTAGTTTCCTTATCTAAAGAAGAATGGACTTAGCACAGAAGAAGGAGTGTAATGTAGGTTTATCAAACTAATCAATGGAATGACAGGATTATCTTATAAGGAAAGATTGAACAGACTAGGCCAATATTCTCTACAATGTCAAAATAAAAAAGTGATCGCATTGAAACTGCCAAAATTCTTTTGAGCATGCCTAGGTAGATATTGTTAAAACATTCCCCTGGCTGGTGAATCTAGAACGAGGGAACAGAACCTCAGAATCAGGGACGGCTCATTGAAGATTGAGATGAGGCGGAACATTTTCACTTAGAAGGTTGCGAATCCTTAGAATTCTCTACCCAGAGTGCTGTGGGCATACATCACTGAGAATCAACATATTTCTGAGCACTAATGATATCAAAACATAAAGGGATAGTGGGCTAAAATAGGGTAAAGCTAAATTATTAGCCATTATTTGCTTGAACAGTGGAGCAAGCTCTCTGGGCCAAATGACCTATTCCTGCTCCCAATTCCTTTGTTCCTATAAGAAGATCTTAGAATTAGGATGAATCATAGAATCGTTTTTGGGCAGCATAGTGGTTTAATGGTTAGCACTATTGCCTCATAACACCAGGGACCTGGGTTTGATTCCAGCCTTGGAGTGTGTGGGATTTTCATGTTTCCCCATGCCTGCGTGAGCTTTCTCCAAATGCTCCAGTTTCCTCCCACTGTTCAAACATGTGCAGGTTAGGTGGACTAGCCATGCTAAGTTGCCCTACAGTGTCCAGGGTTGTGCAGGTTTGGTGGACTGGCCATGGTAAATGCAGGGTTACGGAAGTGGGATGCTCTTCAGACAGTGAGTGCAGACTAGATGGGCCGAATGGCCTTTATCTGCACTGTAAGGATTCTGAGTCTATTCTATGATTCTAGAATGAATATACGAAGACTAATATTGTCTACAATGTCAAAATAAAAAAGTGATCGCATTGAAACTACCAAAATTCTTACACAGCATGCCTGGGTAGATATAGTTAAAACATTCCTTGCCATTAACTAATCCTCAATACCCAGAATCTGTCATCTGTGTAAAAGCTTAATATATCAGATCTCTTCAGAAAACTGAAGTGTAGTCCATTCATTGGTTCTCCTTCATCCATCTTGTGAGTTACATTCTCAAGAAAACTTGTAATTTATCTGCCAAATACTGTTTCCTTTTCATACTGAAGTGTAGATATCGGAGTTAATGATGAGAAAGCTGAATGTGCTGCTGTTGGAAGACCAAAGAATGGGAAGAATTAAATCTTATTTGAAGTGCCCAGAGGTGTTACTGCACATGTCCTCCATCTCTTTCCCTTTCTCTAGATCCCTAATGTTGTCTTGTTATCTGACTTAGGATAAAATGGATCTGTGAGCTGTACTTCCACTATGTGATTTATCCTTTTGGCAGGCTCCTGGTGTAAGGCCTGAAATGCCCTTCTATTCTCTATTTTCTTTTTGATGTCCTATAGTCCCTATAACCTCAGAGAAACCTACCTTAAGTTGTTTCTTTGTGAATCCTAAGTCAGATAACAAGAGAATATTACGGATCTAGTGAAAGGGAAAGAGATGGAGGACATGTGAAGGAACACCTCTGGGCACTTCCAATAAGATTTAATTCTTCCCATTCTTTGGTCTTCCAACAGCAGCACATTCAGCTTTCTCACCATTAACTCAGGTATCTACACTTTAGTATGAAAGGGAAACAGCATTTGGCAGATCTATTACAAGTTTTCTTGAGGGTGTAATTTGCAAGATGGATAAAGGAGAACCATGAATGGACTACATTTCAGCTTCCTGAAGAGATCTGATAAGGTTCCATATGATAGGATTTTTACACAAAAAAAAGGGGTCTCAGTATTGAGAATTAGTTAATGGCAAGGAATGACAGGAATAAATGAATCATTTTTGGCATGGAAGGATTCAACTATTGCAAGGATCAGAGCTCAAGCCTCACTTACTTATAATTAATAAAAATAGACTGGGGCCAAATGAAATAGGTCCAAGTATTCGGACAATACAAAGCTAGGTGGGAAAATTATTGGCAAGGAAGATACAAATAGGTTACAAAGGGAGATAGGTTGATTGGGCAATGATGTAGCAGATGGAACACAATTAGGGAAATTGTATTTTTTTTTCACTTTGGTAGTGATAGAAGAGTAATTTTTTTTTGAAAAGGAAAGGTAAGACATCAGTACATGTTGCTGTACAGAGGGTTTTGAGTGTCCATTTATACCAATCACAAAGTTGGCATGCAGATACAGCAAACAATTAAGGTGGCAAATATTGCACAGGGGCTGCAAAACAGCAAGGAAGTTTTAATGTAAATTATATGCATTTTCAGCAGACCACACCCAGAAGGAAGGAGTATTTATTTAGTTTATTTTACTTTTAAAATTCTTACAGGAGGTGCAAAGTAGATGCTTTGCGGCTGCTTTCCCTTGCTAGAGAGTCCCGAACCTGGGGTCAGAGTTTCAGAGCAAGAAATTGACCAGTTAGGACTGAAGTGGCAATTTTTTTTTCACATCAGGGGTTGTGGGATCTTAGGATCTTATGAATGAATCTTGGAAGATTTTTGGATATCAAATCAAGAGATATATGAATAGGGTAGGCAAGTAGATTTGACGTACATGTTCAGCCATGATCTTCTGAGTGTCACAGAACAGCATATTCCTACACATATTAAGTTCCCTCAGTGGGATCTGCCAATTCAGTTAAGTCCTCTAATCAAAACTGCTTTGTGCTTCAACAAATGTGCTCTTAGCTGATTCAGCTGCAGTGAGGGAAGATTAAAATTAACAATGGAGGTGTGAAAGGAGAAAATAAAACTACCAAATCATAAATATAACACAGGAAATAAAAGCCAAAAATGAAGGAATTTGAAGAATATAAAGAAATTTGTCCATTGGGGTCTTAAAATATTGTTATCCATCACAAGAAAAAGATAAGAGTTTATAATCCTCATATTTCCAGTCCAATGGTATTGGTGGATGTGGGCAATTAAGGGCTTTGCAAGTACAAAGCTGATCACAGCCTTCTCAATTCTGCAGTTGCAGGTAAGTAGAAAAGCTCATAAGACAAGAACACAGAGCAACAATTCATTGTATCACCAATAACATTTGAATGAGTTTTTAAAATAGTAATCAAAACTAAAATTGAATAGTTAAATATTCCAAATATTTAAAATATTCCAAATCATCACTTTGGTTTAAAGATTAGCATTAACGTTATAGTATACTTCCAATTCAATGTTTAAAAATTTATTCAAGGATGTGGGTGTTTCTGGCTAGGCCAGCATTTATTGCCAAACTTTAAACTGCCCAGAGGGCAGTTAAGAGTCAAATCACATGACTGTGGACCTGGAGTCACATGTAGGCCAAACCAGAGAAGGATAGCAGTTTCCTTCCCTGAAAGGGATCAGTGAACTAGATGGGTTTTTCAGACAATTGCCAATGTTTTCATGGCCATCATTAAACTCTTAATTCCAGATTTCAACCAAATTCAAATTCCACCATTTGCCATGGTGGGATTCCAACCTAGGCCCCCAAAACATGCCCTGGGTTTCTGGATTAATGGACTAGCGATAATACCACCACACCATCTCCCCTCCCTCCTTAACTTAATCATTCACTGCTGCATACACGTTTTTAGATGGACAATTTATTGAGGGAGGAAGATCGAAATAGAACTCTTACATGTCTGGGCTTTCCTTCTATTTTATAACATTGCTATGTCATTCTGCCCTAACATGACTTAGTTTGTTGGCATTCCAATCTATATTTTGACAAAGTAGCTTCAAGCATTTCTTTATCAGAACAATGCCGATTATTTTCACATCATCAGATTTAGTGCTGGAAGCAAATTTTAAGTGCGCAAAAGTAAAAAGTATTAGAGTTTTAATGCCATGCTAGAAATGCACAGGGAAGGCATGCAAAATGACGTTCATAGGTCAAGGCTTGACATTAATGCATGCTGTTTTATATTAGCTTGCAGCACAAACTGCCAACTATTTGCTATTTATTTTCTACCAATACAATCTCATACCAATCCTATCAGGTGAAACAATCCTGAAAAATATTTTTTAGAAAATGGATTTGGCTGCAAAATGCCCACCTTTGATTACCCTGGAGACGAGGTTCATGTGGTGAAGCTGATCCCAAACAAATATTAAAGAAATCACTACAGTGGACTAATGTTCTGTGAGAAGAGGCAGGAGATTTGGAGACTTGGGAGTTGATGCTGCTTCCAAGTCCTTCCAATAGAGTTTGCAGGTTTGGAAGGTTACAATGAAGCCTTGGCAAAGAGCTACACTGCAACCTGGAGATACTACACACTGCAGCCAATTGCGAGAGTGATGGAGCTAGTGAATGAATAACCAATCTAGCAGACTGTTTTGCCCATCCTTGGTGGTGTCAATCTTCTTGGAATATTGTCTTAGCTACAATCATTTGGATCAAAGGAGAGAATTCCATCACATTCCTGAATAGTGCTGTGCTGGAGAGGTTTCAGATTTTTGGTTCTGATCAGTGATGACCAGCCCATATCTCCCACCAGGATTTTGGTGAAGGCGAGTGCTAATTAATGGAGTAGTGAGGTGTTTAAACTTCCCTGTTTTGCAGATTCACCAACTGGCATTCTTGTGATATGAATGTTTCTTGCAATCTGTCAACCCAAACCTGCATGCTGTCCCTATCCTGCTGCATGTGGGCACAAACTGCTTCATGGGGAACTGAAAATGGAGCTGAATGTGATATCAGTGAACAAGCCTATTTCTGATCTGGAGGGAAGATCATTGACCAAACTGAAGATATTTGGCACTACTGATAGAAGATTTATACAATATTATAAACGTTGAACCCTCAGTCAACAGTCTCACTTTCTTTCAGTCTTTTTTTTAATTACTTGAAGAAATACAAAGAATTGTAAAACTGGAACTGTGCATTTCAGGCTGACACAACCAAAATCCTTAATCACATCAGATATCTATGATGTTACAAGAAAATAACTCGGATGATCAAACTTTTGTCTGAACTACTGGTAAAGTTGTCAGCAGAATCATCAGAATTCAGACAAATAACAATAAATGCCGTACCATGGGTGAAAAACGGAATAGTTTTAAATACGATTCATCAACGACTTTATTTATTTTCTTACCCCATTCTGTTCCATCCCCAGAGCTCCTAGCTTCCCCAGCTCCTTCTCCATCTTCAGCTGTCACTAAAAAATCAAACTCTTTCAAAGCTTCTTCAGTATCATCAGGCAAGTCAGTAGCTAATCCCTCATTACCGATCTAAAAGTGACAGATATTGATTATTTTATCACCATGACATCAATTCAAAAACCTGATTTTTTTCTAATAGTGATAGCAGATACAGTTCAAATATTTAAAGACGTGTCACTGACACCCATTCCTGCATTTCTTAAAAATTTGAAAGATGGTTTCCAACATCTTTTAAGATTTCAAGGAAGAAATCAAACCTTACACAAATTCCACGAGGCATAGTGTAGATAAATATACTTGAGAACTAAAGCTCAAGTAGGAAAGTAATTGAGACAGTGCTCAAAAAAAATGAAGCAACAACAAGGATATTATTGATCAGATTACTGCTCATCTTCATATATTTTCATTGGTCTCTGACTAGCTTACTGCTGTGAGAAATGATCATGAACCACAATTTCTTTTTGTAAAAAGACAGGTCTGACAGCATTTGTGGAGAGAAAGCAGAGTTAATACTTTGGGTCCTGTGAGCCTTCTGAACACCTCAGAAGAGTCACCGGACCTGAAACATTAACTCTGCTTTCTCTCCACAGATGCTGCCAGACTTGCTGAGATTATCCAGGAATTTCTGCTTTTGTTTCTATTTCAAGCATCCACAGTTCTTTGCTCTTTTTCTTGCATAATATCTTTTTGATTTGGATTTGCTATTATTGCTTTCGATTGTGCAGATCTTTAGGCAACGTTGATAAAGAAAATATAGCTACAATAGAAAGCTTTACTACTGCTTGTTGTCTCTCATAATCGGTCCATATTTTTAAGAGGTTGCACAAAGTACCTCAAAGACATCAGTAAATAGATTTAAACATTTACTTTATGTTTCTTGTTTATTCTATGCTTTTCTTTGCTGTCCGTGATGTCCTCCACCATTTCACCTTCCTCTTCATCATCATCACTATCATCATCTGTATTTTCTAGGAAATTAAATGTTTCAAGAACAGCTTCAGCCAGGCCTCCCCTTGGCTTATCTCCCGAGTTCCTATGTTCAGAAAAGAATAGGTGGAAAAATTTATTAGCAATAACCAATTACAGCATCTATATATTTTTAAACATCTTTCCATCAACCTGAAAATATGCATTATGGTCCTGGAACAAACAGATGTGAAAACTGTTGACTATAATGCTGGTAGGTCATCTAGTTACATTTCGAAGTAGTCCAACCCTCTCACCAATTTTTTATCTTTCTTCCAAAACACACACACACAAAATGCAGGAGCCAGGCATCTCCACAACTATGTATTACTTGTAGATCTCTGAATGAAATAAATAGAAATTTCCTTGAGAAAAATTAAATTTGAACACAAGTCAAAACCACAATCTGAATCTGACAAAGCCTTTTGATTGAGAATACTCCAAGTATCTTGAATCCATTTTGAAAGTCAACTGAAACCCAAAAAACAGCATTCCAATGATATTAGTTGTCGATCACAAGGAACAATGTGCCTGTGTAAACAGCCCTAAGCATCGTGAAACTTCCCAAGGGGCTTCAAAAGGGAATTATCAAATAAAACAGAAAACGTAGTCACAGAGAAAATGCTGGAAAAGATGACCTAAGTTTGGTTGAGGCGGTTATTTCTGACAAGGTAGAGACATTATTGACAAGGTAGAGACAAGTGAAGAATATTGAAAGAGTGAAATCCAGAGCTTAGAGCCTAAATAAGCCCAAGAGAATAGTGATTACACTGGGTGGTGCACAAAATACCAGAATTAGAGGAAACCAGAGATACCAAAAGCCTGCAGGGTTCGAGGAGTCTACAGACATAGGGAGGGGTGAGGCCATGGAGAGACCAAGGACTGAAACTTTAAACTTGCAGTATTACCTTTGAGTCCTCTCTTCTTTAATACTTGCAAATCTCTATCTACTCCTAAAATGTATCAGGACATTCTTCCTTCTTTTCTCCTCAGCCTCTCACCTACTGAATCCTCATGTTTCATGAATGCAGTATCTCTTAGAATTCAATTAATTTCTGTCCCATTGAAATTCAACTACTAATACGCACAATCATTCATTCAATCTTGCCACATTGTTTGAATACAGAATAGCAGTTTACCATGAAGCTCCTAAAGTCTGTTCCACCATTCAGATCGTGGTTGATCTGTAACCTACTTCTCATTTTTGAACATACCCTTTAACATTTTGGTTACCAAAAATCTACAAACTTGAGATTTTAAATTAATTATTTTTGATAATTCTGGATAAGTAATCATAAATTCAACTATTATTTGAAAAGAGAACTAAGAAATATTTACTACTCTTTGGTAGAAGTAGTTCATAACTTCACTTTTGAATGATCTGACCAACGTTTTGACTGTGGCCCTAAACTCAAACCTCCCCAACTATCAGTATTAGTTTCTGGCTACACCTATTGAAAATACAAATCAGATCACCCTTTAGTTTTCTAAATACCAGCAAGTATAGCCCTATTTATTTTTTTAAATCTCTCTTTGGAATTTAGTCCTTGGAGGTCAGGTTTTTTTTTGGTAAATTTACTGTGCAGTCCCTCCAAAGTCAACATGTGCATTTGAAGGTCTCTTTCTTCCCACAGTTCACAAAACAGACAAACCCATCTCCAACTAACTGTTTTCATTCCTCATCAGACCTCTCCCCATGCCTTTCCAAACTCATTTCATTCCAAGTCAACATCTAGAAAAAAAAATCTCCTCAAATCACTTAAAAAGATTAAATAAAGATAGGTCCAGTGAATGGGCACAAGTCTGGCAGTTGGAGTAAAATGTATAAAAATGTGAAATTGTTCATCTCGGAAGGAAGTGTATCACTTAAACGGAGAATGACTGTGGAACTCCAAAGTGCAAAGGATAGGTGCACGAGTCACAAAGTTAGTGTGCAAGTTCAGCAACTATTTAAGATTAATGAGATGGTATCCTCTATTAAGAGAAAAACTGAACATAAAAGGATGGTCACTGGACTCGAAACGTTAACTCTTTCTCTCCACAGACGTTGCCAGATTTGCTGAGTTCCTCCAGCAATTTCTGTTTTTGTTTCAGATTTCCAGTGTCTGCAGTTCTTTTATTATAAAAGAAAGGATGTTATGCATCAGTTAAATAGGGTATTGGCAAGGCGAAATCTCACAGACTGTGTGCAGTGCAGTTTTGGTCTGTTTATTTAAGGACAGACATTGTGGGCAATTCAAACAAGGTTGACTAGATTGATACCCGGAATGAGTGGGTAGTCTTACAAGAAAAGGTTAGACAGGCTGGGCTCATTTCAACTGCTGTTTACAATAGTGAGGCTGACTTGATTGAGGTACACAGGATTTTGAATGGTCTTGACAAGGTGGAGAATGCAAGAATGTTTCTTCTTGCCTGGAGTATAGATCCAGGGACACTTAAAATTAGGGGTCATCCTTTGGCCAGCGATGAGATTTGCTTTTCTTTCAGAGGCCCGTGGAATTCTAGAACTCTGCCTCAGAAGGTGATGAAGATGAGTCATTTAAAATTTTTAAAGCAGCTGCAAACAGACTCCTGTTAAGCAAAAGAACCCAAGGTTAATTGGGAGAAAAGCGAATTTTGAATTCGAAACACAATCAGATTGACCTGATCAACTGATTGGTAGAGCAGGATCAAGTGCTGACCAGCCCACTTCTGTTCCTTTTCCATATATTAACAATTTGCACTTTGTATATTCAACTTACTTGCTTTGACAATAGTGCTTTTATCTCAGATACAATCCCATCTGTTTGGAGTATGTGAAGTGGCTTGGGGGCGTTACTCTCTTCTGCCAGAACTGCGCAATACTCCAGGATTATCTTAAGGAGCAAACATGTGCACAGCCACCATTTTTCAACATCACCATAAACTCTTAAGACATTTGTCCCATGACCTCTCCACTTTTGCAGCAAAGGACTCCTATCTGGTTATCAGATTGAAACCACTGATTCATTAGCCATTGCTCTTTTATATCTCTCTCTCTTCCCGACCTACACTAACCCCTACAATCCACCCTCAGCCAACCGTTGGTAGCTATCCCTTCAGACACTTAGGCCTTGCTCTCTGAATTCCATCCCAAAACCCTTCAGTCTCACCTCATTTTAAGGACAACATAAAACTTGTGTCAGCAAAGGTCGGTCAACCCCTCTAATATTTCACATTTTCATGCATTTATATCATTATGACATGATTTGTGGTGTTCTTCAATATTAAAGTTGCTATATAATTGCAAACAGCTTTTATCATGTCCAATTGATCTTAGGTCTTTATTACCCAGATAAACGGTGAACCACCAATTTGTCATATGGCCAGCTACCAAGTACGAGAAACAGTTTATGTATAACCCACCCTTCCTCATTATACACCAGAGGACAATATTGCAACAATTACTCGACACTACTCAGATTAGAAACTAAGAGCACTGAAATATTTTTCATTTTTAATTAGTTTACAAAATGTGGGTATAACTATTGCCCAGCCCAACCCTAAGATACACCTCCCCCAATAGTCTTCACAAAATCCCATTATGTTGATACTCTCAAACTCAGTACCATTAGAAAGCAGGGTAAATTTGGAAATTTGCTTCAATGATAACTTATTTGTTAATTAACTCCACAAGTATAGCACCAATTTCACTTTAATTCTTAATAAAAATCTTTATTTTCTCATTTTCCAGGGATTTAGTTACATATATTGTTATGCAGCCAAAGGGAAACATGTTACAGTACACTGAATCAAAATCATCAGCTGTATATACACAATGTTGCAAACAATCCAAATTTGATGCAAATATATTCTGCTTTATTAAATATATTCTGGAAGCATTTTGCTTCCATCTCAAAATCCATCTCAGGAAATAACCATTAGCAGGGGTACTCATTCAAGTGGCACACAAATTCAAGGAATAAGAAAATCACAATTTAGTGCCTCACCTTTTAACTTCTTGTCCTTTTTGTTTAGTTGGTGAGTCTCCCCCATTAAGAATCTGTTCCAAATTTTTTGTCTCTACTGACCCATTCTGCTCAGGACCCGAAAGGCCTAGTAATGATCGTACTCTTTGTGATCGTACATCTAGAATTGTGTCTGTGTAACCAACTTCTTGTAAATACCTGTGAAATTTGAAAATAGAAATTTCTGAGTTTCTGATTATACACTTGGTTAACCACATATTCTATGTCAAAGCATTTTACGTTTTCTGCAATATCTATCCATTTCTCAAAGAATAATATTAAAAGCTAAGGTATGTTTGCAGTATTCTTGGACAAGGGATGGACAGTTACCTCATACTTGGAACTCAGTCTAACAGGCTTTGATACTGATGTTATCAATATTTAGTAAAAGTTGTCCAAGTACAATTGACAATTTGTCATGAAATTACAATCCATTTAGGTTTAAGTGAAGATTTCATATTTCCCACAGTAAATCAGTTATTAATAATAAACTGTAGTAAAATGTATACCTACACGAGTAACTGATAATAAAAGTGTAACATAAACTAAAAAGCACTGCTATGACCAACTGGTAAATAAAGCAATTTCTTTGAAAATTAATTATATTTTAATATTGAATACATTTCATATGTTTTGCAAATTTATTTATTTAGATCAGATGTTGTAATAGGAGCAAATAGCATTCATAGTACTCACTGCCTGAGCAACTGCCTGCCTTGCTTCCAAGTCAACTGACTGTTCTGAGGTGTAGGTTGCACCTCTGTGTCTTTGGTTTCTTCTAGAAAACAAACATACATCGCTAAAAGATTAGAATGTCAAGATCCCAAAAAGGAGGTCAATAAGCAACCAAAAAAAAACGTTTGCAAATACTATGGTTCTGCACAGCTTTTCTTAAGGTTATACTATGAGCCTCAAAATTCATGAAGATTTGGCCCTAAATCTGCTGGGCCTTGAAAACGGTGAGAATTTCAACTACAAGCATCACTTCACCACCAAACCACACCACAAACCCATCATCTCCAAGAAACTGAATGTAGTCACAAACTAAAAAAAAATTCCTTCCAGTGTTTCAAAGAAAGCAATGACCTAACGTACATTCATTACCATGCAAGTCAGAAAAAGTGAACAAATATCAACTAATCCTGACAGAGATTGTATTCTGTTCCTAATGTGCAGAAAGCATCAAGTACCCTAATACCAAGAAAAAGAACCAGCCACTGTCCTTAGACTCAGAGTTGGGGGATATCACGATTGCAACAAGGTCAGTCAGATGGACCTCAGAACAATTTCCCAATTGAGGCTGTTAATCTGGTCCAATCAGGGAGCCCTGGCTGACAGATAAAACAGGAGTGTCGTACATCCTGACACTCACCAGCTGGCTGGATCAGTGTCAAGGTCTTTCCACATGTAAATAAAGGGTGACTCGGTGACAGCATACCAGACTCTGTGGAGTTATTTCAGAATTTTGCCACTCTTTTCTCAGAGACAAATAAGGTAGATTGGGGGGGGCTGGGGCAGGGGAATAGGGTTAAGATTTAAACTAATTTACAGTAAAATTAAGAGTTAAATTAATATAAATTAAAACTAAGAGTTAAATTTGACATCTTTAAATCTCCAAAAGCCATTCAGAAAATGAAATAATGAGACTCAACTTTTGTTTGTTGGGCAAGACTGGATAATAGACAGACAGTCACTAACAGTCACCATGATGTTAAACTTACCAACAGTTTTTGAGAGTTTAGTAGCCAAAAAATGTACAGATGTAATCTTGAAAATCACAGGGAGAGATCAGTATGTAAGATACAATTTTTATGAAACTAACAACAGTGGTGCAAGTCTACCAGATATATGACAATTCAAAATTAATGAGGTACCTCTTCCTTGCCACAAATTACAGGCTTATTTATGCAGTAATAAATGCCTATGATGTTCATACAACAAAATCCGACTCTATGCCGTTCCAATTGCCTCTAGAAACAGTTTAAACTTAAAAGCAACTCATGTTATCTTTCTCAGGATAAATGGATCCAAACTAATTTTACATGGCACGTTAGCAAATAGAAAATGCCATACGACATGAACACGCATGAAAACATACAAACTAGCTTCAAATTCTAATGTCAAAGACAGTCAAAAATAATATATCTTGAAAAATTAAATACATACTACATTACACATACTTCATAAAAATATTGAATCTCCATTTATTACCTGTTTCAAATGTTGGCATCTTTAAGTCACCTTGATTCAACTCTGTGCCATATTTTAATTTATGATATTTTGCCCTAAAAATAAATAAATAAACATTAATGTACATATAGCTAATAAAAACTCCACTCATTGACTATGTTAATTTTAATGTATTTAATGACTGATCTTTACTTCATTACTCATCCACAATGAGCCTCCAGAAGACAGTGGTGAGTTGTTTGAATACAACTAAGTGGCAATTTCAGGGGACAGTTCAAATTCAATTCCATAGCTTTCAGTCTGATATCTCACATTTACCAGATTGGTTATGAATGGCAGATTTCCTTCTCTAAAGGACATCAATGCAGCAGAATGTTTATGACTAGGATGAATCTACCAGATTGTCAAAAGTTGATGGGGGCTTCAGGCTCCTAATCCTGCATGCTTGAAGTCTGATGTATGAACATCACCTGAGACTGAGAATGGGCTATTAAGCTTAATTGTAAAATCGTAAGATATAGAGCAGAATTAAGGCATTAAACTCATTGAGACTGCTCCAACAATTGACCATGGCTGCTATGTTGCTCAATCCCTTTCTCTTGCTTTCTCCCCGTTAACTCTTGATCCCCTTACTCATCAAGAACCTATCTACCTTTGTCTTTAATAGACTCAGTGACTTGGCCTCCGCAGCCTTCTATGGCAATGAGTTCCACAGATTCATCATCCACTGAAGAAATTCCTCCTCATCTCAATTCTAAAGAGTTGTCTCTTCACTGAGGTTGTGCGCTCGGATCCTAGTCTCTCCTACTACTGGGAGCATCTTTTCCACATTCACTCTATCTAGATCCCTCAGTATTCTGTAAGTTTCATTGAAATCCTTCCTCATCCAGCTAAACTCAATTGAACACAGACCTCAACTGCTCCTCGATGACAAGCCCTTCATCCCCAGATCACTCCTGTAAACCTCCTCTGTACCTTTTCCAACACAGATCATCTTCCTTAGATACAGAGCCCAAAACTGTTTACAATATTCCAAATATAGTCTGACCAGAGCCTTAAAACAGCCTCAGCAGCACATCCCTGCTCTTGTACTCTAGCCCTCTCGAAATGAATGCTCACATTGCACCTGCCTTCCCAACTAAACCTCCACGTTAACCTTGAGAATCCTGAACTAGGGCCCCAAGTCCCTTTGTACTTCAGACTTAAGAAAATAGTCTGCATCTTTATTCTTGTTATAACCTGACATTTTCCCACATTGTTGGCCATCAACAGCATTCTAAATGGATTCAACACTTTCAGAAGAGGAGAAAATTTGAGAATGAAAGAAAATTAATCCAATAACCAGAGTTCAGATAGACAATGTTTATTTTCACTATTTGCATATTAATAGCATTTATAGGTGTTCTTCAAATTTACTGCAATGCATCAGATGGAGAAAACCCAAAACTGCATAAAATGCTGCACTAAACAGACACAGACATCATCATTCACTGAAGTCTGAGAAACTTTTAAATAAGGTAGACCGAGAAGATCAACTTGCAAGTCCAATTTTTTCAACGAATGGAAGAATGTCAACAAAAGAAATGATTGCTAGCCAGAAAAAATCAACTTCTTTTATACATCTCAGCATAGCACTATGCGAAAGTGCCATCTTTTGAATAAAATATAATACTGAGGGCTCCATCTGCTCTCATAAATGGATGGACAAAAGGAATAGGAAGTTTGCCTTGTGTCTTGACCAAGCTTGATTCCATAAGCAAAATCATCAGCAGAATGTATCTGGTCTTTTTTTTTCCATTTGTGGGCTCTTGTGCTGCATAAATTGATTTTTTTGATACTCCTATATTACAACAGAAGCTAGCTTCGAGGCATTCTAAGATCATGAAAGGCAGTATAGTCATGTAAAAAAAAAAATGCTTTCACATACAGACAAATGTTTAAGCAGATTAAATGGTCAAACTGAAATGCACTGCAGTAAAACCATAATGCTGCACATTCAAAAATCATAATCCTCCTACAACAAAAAAAAAAGCTCTCATGATTTCTAAAACGTTAATGTTAAATTCAAATTCAAATGTTACACCTGTTTTGTTACAGTCTTGCCGGAATATATTCATTTCTCTAAAAAAAAATCACGTCTATATTTATATATTTTAAAAACATTTGCAAAGGGCCAAGGGATTAAGGAGAATAGGCCATGTATGCGCTACTTGAGACTCTGGGTGTAATCTCAAGCTCCTTCTACATTATTATATTTAAATAAGTTACATACTGTGGATTAAGTACAACAAAGAATTTTTTCTTGAACTGCTTTTATGTTCACCTCTGTGTGTTTAAGTTCCATCAATCCACAATAGGTCCTGCAAAGTCAGTCATTGATAATCCCATACCTTAAAAGCAAGGCACTGTAAGTAGAAGTTCCCAACAGAGAATGCCTTTCCCAAGCTGTTCTAACTCCAAGTTCACCTGAAAAGCAATATCCAAGACATCTGACCATAGTAAATCTTTAAGCTTGCCAAGAATCCCTCAATTCAACTTTAAAGCATAGTTTCAGTGCAGGTTCACAGCTCCTTGAAAGTGGAGTCACAGGTAGATAGGACAGAGGAGGCAGCATTTGGTATGCTTGCCTTTATTGATCAATGCATTGGGTATAGAAGTTGGGAGGTCACGTTGAGGCTGTACAGGTCATTCATTCAGCCACTTTTGGAGTACTGCACATAATTCTGGTCTCCTTGCTATAGGAAGGATGTTGTGAAACTAGAAAAAGGGTTCAGAAAAGATTTACAAAGATGTTGCCAGGGTTAGAGGGTTTGAGCTACAGGGAGAAGCTGAATAGGCTAGGGCTAATTTCCCTGGAGCGTCAGAGGATGAGGGGTGACCTTATAGAGGCTTATAAAATCATGTGGGACATGGATAGGTTAAATAGGTAACATCCTTTCCCCAGGGTGGGGGAGTCCAAAACTAGAGGGCATAGGTTGAAGGCGAGAGGGGAAAGATACTAAAGGGACCTCGGGGGCAACTTTTTCACACAGTAGGTGGCGCATATATAGAATGAACTGCCAGAGGAAGTAGTGGAAGCTGGTATGATTACAACATTTAAAAGGCATCTGGATGGGTATACGAATAGGAAGGGTTTAAAGGGATATGGGCCAAATGCGACTAGATTTATACAGGATATCATGTCAGCATGGATGAGTTGCACCAAACGGTGTATTTCTGTGCTGTAAAATCTCTATAACTGTGACTCTAAACCAGGGCTGCCTTGTGGGAGGCAGGTAACGTAGACCAAAAACTACATTAAGTATAATTTTTAGAAGTATACTACCTGTAACCAACTTTTGTGCATGGAGGAGAGATGGCATGAGGTGACAATGCGCTATTTCCAAAGTCAATGAGTGAAAATAGCTTTTGTTTTAAGGTCAAGAAAAGGTTGCTGTTTTATATATACACACACTCCAGGGAGATAAGGAAACACACAGCTCTTATGTAGAAACTATTCTGATTAGAGTGTTAAAGGGGACAACTTCTGTCCACAACAATCAGACAGACTTTGAGTCACTTGTCAGTTGTTATGATGCCAGACCATACTACCATATTTAGTTATGCTCTGGTTAGAGACTAATAGCCTTTCGTTTTAAGAACACACAATTGAAATCTCAGCTACTTCAGAATAATACCACAAATTGCATGATTTTAAAACAGGAATGAAGTTGTGATACAAGCCAGCAAAGCAAACAAAAATTGTATTATCTGTCTTGTAGTCCAACATCCGGAATTAACACAAAGCAAGCGTGAAGTATCATGCAAACTGTCATCAAATGCACAAGCTGCACATTAAATGGTGGTTACAACCAAATCAGATCCCAAACTTCTCAACAACTCACCCAAGTGTCAGCAAGTCACAAAACACTTCAAAACTATATCCCTCTCAAGGGATTTCAGCACTTTTTTTTGGAAAACTAGCATCCAATTTCTAAAAAAGCCACTCCAACTCAGACCACCTCAATGACTGCTCACCTTCTAGTTGCTCAATCTCTTCACCGGAGACTGTATCTCATTGAATTCAAAAGGCTTTGCTCCAGCTTCTAATCACTGACATAATTCCAGCTCTTCGGCTGGTCTAAAGAGAACGTTACTAACCATTATTTAACCTTTACTGGCCCTAAATATCAACTTCACTTACAGACAACTACTGCTTTAGATTTTCTTTATGCCATGGATGGGTCTCTGCCAGATGCTTCTTTTCCACACAACTGAACTGTGCCCCAAAGCTTCCCTGAGGCTAACTATACAGCACCACGAGAAGAATCACCAAATGGCTCTAGGATCTTCTAGGAATGTCAACTGCATGGAACCAACTAACAGGAGCAGATTAACTGTATGGAGCCTCTTCCCCTACTCGCAACTATCACTCTGACTAATTGACGCTCACTGACCCTGGAATGGATGAGAAACACCTATTAAAAACATTGCTGCAGGGTCCCAACCGCTGTTTCTAGACAGAATCAAATGTTTCAACCTCAAATATTTGGCAGATTAAATGTTACAATCACCTGTCAATTAACAGTCAGTCACTCTCCACAGCTGCGAGCTTATACAACACAGACAAAAGAAAGGAACTAGATGATCAATAATCCATCCAGCTTGACCTTAAATACTTAATGCTACTGATTCCACTGCTCTTTGGGGAACACAGTTCCCCAGATCAGCAACCCTTTGAGAGAAAGGGTTAACCTCATTCTCTTGAATGGGGCTTCTTGTTTTTAAACTAATCCCCCTAGTTCTTGTCTTTCTCATAAGGGATAATATCCTCAGCGTCCACCCTATCAAGTCCTCTCAAGAATACCACAGAGTTCTGCGATCACTCTTCACTTAAATAATGCGAAGAGCTTTTCTATGCTGCCTGCCAAAGTGGATAAGTATACCCCACCTTCCAAATTTTTGTGCACTCCCTATCGATATCCTTTTGCAGACTCCTTGGGTCTTCTTCACAACTTACTTACCGACAACTTCTATAAATCCAAATTGCTCTACTCCTCCCAAGGGTCGCAACAAAGTTTAAATTTAGACAGTTGGTGATATGACCCAATATATATTTCTCAAACTGTATCAGGTTCAGTATTAAGGCTA